GGAAAGATGATGTAATCGGCATGATTGTGTTACGTTATACATACGTGTACATTATATTGTTTTATATTAGCCATTTTTTCCTCAGTTGGCTGACAGCGTTCATGCAAGATGTCTCGAAAGTGTGTAAACAATCCAGATCAGTTTTGTTACGTGTATGGTGATGTGACTTTTGCGTCTCAGAGACGGTCTATTACTTCACTAATAACAAAGGCATATCAGCTTTATTTCGGTTGTAAACTAGGTGATCAAGACAAACAGTGAGCACCCCACATCTGCTGTAATACATGTGCTTCAAGTATGAGGAGCTAGTTAAATGGCAAAAAACGGTCTATGCGCTTTGCTGTCCCAATGGTTTGGAGAGAGCCTACAAATCATATTAATGATTGTTACTTTTGCATGGTACCTTGTGTTGAACAAGCCACAGGTATGTCCAAGAAAAAAAAATCGGTTATTAACTACCCAAACATACCATCTGCGATGAGACCTGTGCCTCACAGTGACGAAAATCCTATTCCAAAACCCCCAGAATCCTACACTTGCGAATCAGAAAACGAATCAGATCATGGCGATCGAGTGATTCGTCAGGAAGAAGATATGCCATCAACTTCAAGAGATCCTGATTTTATACCGAGCACGTCATGCCACCAACCGCACAAAATAACACAATCAGAATTAAATGATCTTGTAAGAGATTTAGAACTTCCAAAATGTAAGGCAGAGTTACTTGGATCAAGACTGCAGCAGTGGAACTTGTTAGAAGACGATGTTTCGGTATGTGTTTTTCGTAAACGCCACAAAGACTTAGAACCATTTTTCAGTATGGAGAACAACTTGGTTTTCTGCAGTAACATTAACGGCTTACTGGCGGCTTTAAATATAAACTATAACCCACAAGAATGGAGATTGTTTATAGACAGTTCAACATTGAGTTTAAAGGCAGTGTTATTGCATATTGGAAATATTTTACCATCTCTTCCTGTAGGGTATGCAGTTCACATGAAAGAATCATATGACAATATGAAGTACCTATTGACATGCATAAAATAAGATGAGCACCAATGGCATATTTGTGGCGATTTGAAAGTTGTTGCACTTTTACTTGGGCTGCAGCTAGGCTACACAAAGTTTTGCTATTTTTTGTGTGAATGGGACAGTCGGGCAAAGGCACTTCATTACACCAGACAAAACTGGCCTGTTCATCAATTCCTAGAGCCAGGTCAAAAAAATGTACAGCATATGCCATTAGTAGATTCGAAAAAAATTCTATTACCACCACTGCATATCAAGTTGGGCCTAATGAAAAACTTTGTCAAGGCATTAGATAGAGATGGGTCAGCTTTCCAATACCTGCGTTAGAAATTTCCAAGACTAAGTGTGGCAAATGTTAGAGAAGGTATTTTTGTTGGGCCACAGATTCGAAATATTTTGAAAGATACACAGTTTGAAAACACTTTAACAGGTATTGAAAAAACTGCTTGGAATGATTTCCGTCTGGTGGTCACTAATTAATAGAACAGCTGACAACTATAAAACCCTTGTCAAAAATATGCTGTCATCGTATCAAAAGATGGGCTGTAATATGTCTCTCAAGATACATTTCCTACACTCACACCTGGACTTTTTTCCTGACAATTGCGGAGCCGTAAGTGATGAGCACGGCGAACGTTTTCATCAGGATATTTCAACAATGGAAAAAAGGTACCAGGGAAAGTGGAATCCTTCCATGCTTGCAGACTACTGTTGGAGTCTTGGTAGAGATGCTCCAGAAACGATCCATAAAAGAACAGCAAAAAGACCGTGCATATAGTGATTCTTATAAGTATATGAATCTTGTTACTTTTTTTAATATATCCTTAAAAATAAAAAGTTTTTTTCTAAGCCGCAATTAATTTTTTTATTTCATTCTCATTTTTGGATTCAGCGCCCCAAAATTAACAAAGAAGTGCACTTTTCCCACAAGATACAATTAAAAAACTAAAATTTGTTGTCCAGTGTTATCTGACCAAACTACTCCAATTTTGATTTTGTTGTGGTTATTTAGAAGTACGAATCCTACGAATTTGAAGAATTTCAAATATCTGCGAGAAACCACCATAGCATTATCAAGTGCCAAAATCTGCAGTTTGCCTCGGTTTTCGGCCATAACTTTTTTGCTGTTAGTCGGATATTCGTACGTGTTTCGTTCCTGTCAACACTTTCGATTGAATCCCAAAAAACACGTTTTGTCATTCTTTGTTTTTGAACAAAAAGTTTTACCACAAAAATTGGTGTACCCGCTTTATGCGTCCATGTTTTGAATACCCCCTTGGACACCTTGCAGCAATAAAACCAGACCTTACAATTATTTCGTAAACCAGAGGTATTTTCGTCTAATATTATTAGACTATCGATGTTCCACTTGAGCAGGATGCACGTTAGAAATGCAGCTTCACAAATAAGCGATTTCATCAGTATCACATAGATTTGGTTTGGTAGTCTCCAGCAGGAAGGCTCATTTGTAGCTGTAGCAGTACTTGACATTAGCTGTGAAAATTCTACACCTTTGTTTCTTGCATCCCAGGTCTCAAATTGACTGCACTATCTCCAAGCAGTGCAGAATTGTTTGTTTGCGAATTGGGAGGCCAAAATATCGCCGAATGCGGTTAACCAAGAGCTGAAATTTGTGGTAATACGTCTGCAAGTTCCTTATACAGTCGCTTTGTCTCGAAAATAATAGCGGGCGTTCTCGTTGCGCCTAGAAGTTGGAGCAACAGAGAAATTTCCATTTCTAACTTATTAGGCTGTAAATCAAGGGCCTGCTTAAACAACCATCCGAAATTTAAGTACCAGAAACAAATGACGGCTGATTGTACTTTAAGTTTATTGCCGGAATGGGACACACGAGACCGGAACTTTTGAATAAATTACTGCTTCTCGCCATCCGAAGAACAGATTAGCTGTAGCTGGACACAGAAATATGACCGACTTTGCATCGACGATTATTCACTTGATACTCGTGGAAAATAATGAGGAGATCACAATGCGGAAGACATAATTTTATGATCAATGTTGAACCATAAATATATTTCTCCTAGCTGTTATAACAATGACGAAAGAAGCAACATTTCAATACAGGGATGCTAACATCAGCAGCAATTCTCAGCTTACTGTAGGTTTGCTGACGTATATTTAAGGATTCTTAAGGCTTATCCATATTACAGATATTCCACAACACGCCACGCAGCATATCATACAACATGCAGCGCAACATATCACGCAACATGTTCAGCACCGATATGTAACGGTTCAAAATTTCGTTACGTAAAATATATGAGTATTTACTAATTTTTCATAATAGAACAAACACCATAACATACCTTTCAATATTTATTTTTGATACAATACAATCTGGTTACAGATTTATAGGCAATACTTATTACATCCTCAGACTTTTTTTTATTTTGTTCGTGATAACCTGGAATAGTACCTCCAAAATCTCCCGAAATAAAGATTTTACTGCATTACCCATTTTTGTCTTTTTTTTCGTGCTAAATGACACAAACACATGAGCCGTATTCATAAAAGAGAAGCATATCCTCGGAAGCTTAAGGTAAAAGTATAAGGTCTTGCTTCTGAGAAAAAGGTAGAGGTATAAGCATATCCTTGTTTTCATATTCATAATACTCGCGAGGATATCCTCCAAGAAGAAGTAAAAGGTTGAATGGTATTTGTATCTGGAGCGACATGTCCTGACTTGTTCCAGCTTGTAGTTGACGTGGGAGTTCGTTCACTCAGCATCACTGACAGTTGTACTCCAGAGCTTACACAGACCGTTCCGTATTTCTACTGGATTCAGTTTTTTGTCAAATTAATAAGCTTGTCATCCTCAAGTGATGAGGAAACTATAGAAAATAATGGCAGCGACCTGCAGTTCATCGCAGATGAAATCGCCATTGCTCCCATTATTTTGCAAAAGTCACAAGTTCCAAAAATAAAAATGAGAAAGGACGATGCCTTGAAGAAGATGTTGAAAAAATACGAATCTACATTCGGTAAACCATTAGATACTAAAGGCTTATTAAAAAAAACAACAACACGAAATCAAGATTGAAGAAAAAAACATCTAAACAAAACTGGTAATAAAGCAATTAAATTGTTAGATTGGGAAAGACAGTTGCTGAAAGCTATGGAAGAAGACTGTAATCCTACAATTGGGAAAATTAGAGGTACCATTCAGGTTGGTAGTGTTCAAGAAGAAGGAAGTGAACTATATACCGAACGCAGTGAGCAAACAGTTAGTATTACAGCGCCAGCAATTCAGAAGACATTGCCACCAAAAAGAAAATTCGGAACAGAGAAATACGAAACTGAGGAAACCAAAGGATTAACTACAAAAAAACTGCAACGCCTAGTGATATTACAGAAGTACCAAACAATTACACAACATATTTTTCAACAAAAGTATTATAAAACGAAGTTAGAAATGATGTAGCGTCAGAAGCCACCTATAACTTATGATGTTCACGAAAATAAAACTTATTATAACTCATAAATACATTTTAATCAGTAAAACTGTTTATTATAATACTCAAGTTTCTTCTTATCTGTTGACCTAGTTGGCGGCGAGGAAGTTCTTCACTCTCATGATTTCCTTCAGCTTCATCTGGGTTTTGTTCAACTAACTCAAAGTCAGGATTGCCCAGGCTCTTCGTAACATTATGGAGTACAATAAAAGCAATAATTATTTTCGGCACATTTTCCAACTTTACGCGGCAAACATACTGTAGGATAGGAAACCGGCGTTTCAGTTGGCCGAAACAGCGTTCAATTATAACTCTTTCTTGTTTTAAAAGCTTCTTATAATTTATTTCTGCACCTATAGTAGGATTTTTGAAAGGAGTCATAAGGCATGGCTCAATACCATAACCGTGATCGCCAAGTAGTACAACATTTGCTTTATTTACTAGTTGTGATCTAGTCTGTGAATTTCTCCATCATGCACTGATCCAGGCCAACTGACATCAACACCTGTGAACAGCTCTCTGGCATCGGTTGATATACTCATCTCCATGGCGATTTGGTTTCAGGATTCCAATATGTGTACAATCAATTACACCAATTTCTGTCGGAAATTTATACATGTTTTGCCATATCCGCTTGGCCTCCATCAGTTCATGGTTGGTAGTTGGAAACTTGATCCATTCGTTCGATTGTGCAACTATGCTGTTCACAACTCTATCCACAGTCCGAGATACCGTTACTTGACTAACACCAAGTTCCTGACCAATAGCTTGTTGATATCCAGGGTCACCGAGATAGCGTAGACATATCTTCATTTTATGATTACATGAAAGTGCTCCTCCTCGAGTTTCCTCATCCTCAACAAAAAACTGTCCGCAAGCCATTGTACATTTGCTTCGTCGAACCGATATAATTTTTTGAAGTCAGACCAAGTGAAGGTAAACGAGGTTTGTACGTTTTAACATCCATTAAATCTACAATTTCCGCCATCATCGTTTGACCACCTTTCGTTACGAAGTTGAGTCTGCTACTGACCACACTCAGAATTTTTGAAGGATATGCTTCCTATGCCAAGTATAAGGTGAAGATTATGAATATCCTTTTTCTTATGTCACTGCTTTGAAGGATATGCTTATACTCAAAAAGCAAAAGCACTTTGGGTGGCGTGAAGTAGCTTCGCGCTATCAACGCTAGACAACCAGAGTTACGCGACCAGGCGACAGCGCTTGCAGGCTTGGCCGAGGTTCAAGAATAATCAAGAGCCGCCTGGAGGAACCTGATGCAATCTGGACCACTTCTACGGAAGTTAAGCGAAAACGCTGGAATATTTCTGTGCACAGTCGAGCCTACACACACAGTCGAGCCAGTGCAGAGTGAGCTCGGAGTTAAGCTGAAATAATAGTCCTGTCGAAATAATTATAAATTTGTTTTAAATTAGTCGCAAGAGTTACAAATTAGTGTAGAGTGATAAATTAGATTTTGGATAGTAACAACGGTGTTCTCCTTACAATATGTTGATTTAAATATTTCTTACTGGGTTTTGTAAAATATCATCTTAGATAAACTTGTAATTGTATCTTCGGTTACTTCGGTACCGTAGATAGCAAATAAGGGTTGTATCTGTCTTTTTAGGTCCCTTTTCTGGCCAGTATATGCTGTAAGAAAGGGATATATTTAGTGAATTGATGAATCCAACGATTAGATCTGTTATGTTTCTTTACATACTTCTCCGTTGAATGCAAGAGTAATGAACTACACTTTAGGTAACATGTTGATGTGACTTACCTGTATATTTAGATATAATTCAAGTACTCTTTTTGGTTGACTTTGTCTAATTTTCATTTCTTTGATGGAAGAAATTGGGCGATTGTTATAAATTTTGACGGAGCAACATCATAAATGCAAAGTACTGAGTACTCGGTCCATGCCAAGTCTCATTCCGGTGAAAAGTGTCAGTTTCGGACCTCTCAACCACCGTTCTACAGCACCTCATTCAGAAAATGTTATAACAGAGATTTTGTTTCTCAACCACAGTAACTGTTTAAAATCAAGCTTTTAAAAAACCATTATTTATTTATTTGTTAGTTATTCACTACTAAACGGCAACAGCCATTTACAGAGTAGGACTACAAAAAAAAATAAAGACGAATATTTACTAATATCATGATGCAGATAAGAAAGTAAAAAACAAACACAACTTTACAGAAATATATCCAATTGTTCTGTATCATCAATAGCCATCCCACAAGAATAAAATAGTGAAGAAAACTTTAAGCTGTTTGTTCTAGGAGTAGGCAAATAGAAAGTATCAAATTGTCTAGAATTTAAACGGTACAATTGTGCAATATATCACGCACGTGATTAACGAAGCACGCATCCCTGGGACTTTCTAGATGGAAGGCTTCTAAAATTTTTAGAGGATAGCCAATTTGCTGAATATGTCCAAGCTTATTCGTCCAAAAGTTATCGAAAGGATGCCAAACAATTCATGAATGTTCAAGCTTTGAACGACCAAGTGAGCAATATAAAAGCTTAATTGTATTAATGTCTTGAAAATCACGACCGCGGCGTATAATACCGCCCAGCCTTTTGTAACTCTCAGCAATAATTGTCTCCATATGACTATTGAAGCAATACTTACTATTAAAAATGACACCCAGATCCTTGACTTAAGGGTGTTCACCTGACCGATAATTCATATTCTGTTTGTTGACGAAACCGTTTAGCCAAAAATGCGCCTCAGCACTGAAGATGATTTTGCGATGAAATTGGTCATTATCTTGTAACATTTATAGAGTCCAATTCGAGAACGTACGTCGGTTCATATGATCAAGCAGCGAATATGTGGACTCGAATTTTTTCACTAGACTGGGGACGAGAATTACGACCAAAAATTGGCGTTAACGCCCTTAAGCTTTCAGTCACCGACTCGGAACTTCGGTAGTCAAATTTTAGTTATTTGTAAGCGTTGTTCGTTCATGGACTTCGCCATGATGTAAATGTTTTCTTCACTGAATCTTTGGACATTGATAGTTTGGTAATTGATTTATAGGTTCGTTCACAGTGAAAGTTCAAAGTTGTCAAGTCCCTATTGGAAAACCCGATATTAGATCTGGCACCTTTGTGCATTAAGTATGTGACTCTGTCAGATAGATAGGATTTTATAACCGAGAAAAGATGTCCAGTCATGCTGAAGTTAGCTAATTTGTGAAGGAGAATGCCTTGAACTACCCGGTCAGAGACTTTTTTGTCAGTTTGAGCGACATCAACTTGAACACGAGATATTCTCAGATGTGCACTGCAGAATAAGTTTGTAATTATTGGTCGCTTTTTCATGAAACCATGCTCTTGAGTTATTAGAGTATTATGCACATGTCAATAAACTGCATCATAAAAAAGAAAATAAAACGCTTATGAAAAGCCGTTGATAATCATGATTTGCGTATAACTTTCAATATCGCAATTGTTTTCTTTATTCTTAAAGACAGTGCAGACCTTTGAGCCCTTCCACGATGACGGGGAGAAACAATTCTTTAGTAATTGGTTACATATATTTATTGATGTAGGCTTTGCAACACAGAAGCATAGTATTTCAATACGAAAGCAGGAATTGCATCTGGTTAGGGAGTTAATTCAGGCTTTAGTTTTCTCAAGGCATTATAACCTTCATCTACATTCCGTCAACATCAAAGAGTTATATCCAATTGTCTGGGTAGAGTATTATCACTTGAAATGTTTATGAAAGATTTGTGGAAATAGGAAAGCTATTTCGAATATCTTGAGGGTCACTTATATCCAAACCATTATATACTATATTTTTGGGTCAACCTTGACCTCTTATGATGTTGGCGAAAGACCAAAACTCTCATCTCGCTTTATACCATCTTCCGCTTTTTGCCTAGTTTTTTAAGCAGTGTCACTGTCTCTTTTAATCTTTAGTCTCAAAGCTTTATAATTTTGCAAGACTTCTTCATCAGAATTTCGCCTCAGCCTCTGATCATCTCTTTAGCTATGATTATCATTTATAATACTTCCATTAAACATAATCTTGCAGCCGCACATAGTATTAAGACTGGAGCTGCCAGAAAAAAAAAACATTATTATTTTTGTAAATAGCACACTTAACTCAACATATAACATCAAAACAATGGAGGATTTTTCAGTGTTGATCAGCATTATCAATTACTGCGAGTACGTATATATTACTATTCAATCTTTATAGCTTATACTAAAAAATCTGGTTTCTCTCAAGTATCCAATTCACCTTTCTTTGACCTACTTCCAATATAGAGGGTGATTCAGTTTATTGTTGCATAACTTTAAGATTCGATAGAACTTTTAAAATTAATGCATAAAGTCTATATAAACATGGGTCGAAAAATGCGTGACTTCCGAAATACAGGGTGTTTAAATTTACATTTTAACATTTGATGTATAACAGTGAAAATTGGTATACAAGTGTTTTTTGGTACGACAAAACGAACCATGGGCATAGTTTTACTGTAGCCGCTAGAGGGCGCCCTCTACTGTACCTGTAGTGTATCAAAATGACCGAAAAAATTTTCTTAGTGCAATTTTTTGCTTTTTGAAAAAAAAACGATTCTTCGCACTTTTCTGCATAAAAAAGCTCTCCTGTGAGTTTTCGTTATAGTTAGCCGCTTTTGAGATATTTCGATTTTTAAGCTTCGATGCATTTTTAATTATTTATGGGTAAATAATATTTTTTTTACATTTTCGATTTGGGCATTACAAGTAATTAAGATCATCGTTTAGATTCTGTTTTTTAACACAGCAATAATTCCTAACTCCAAATAAACACAAAAAACAGAATATTAATTTGTTTAATTTTCCAATATTATTTTTAACAAATTAAATTAATTATTTACAACTAAAATGCTATTGGATAGTTAGGACAAACATACAAAATCTAAAGTAGTTGCTCGGAATGTAAACCCAATTGTTCAATACACAATTCACACCTACGAATGATCGAACGTGGTATAGCATTATTCAAATAAGGCCTTATTTCATCACATGCATTCCTATTAGCATATCTCTTGTGGTTACGGGAGTCTGGTACACTTTTCCTTTTAGAAATCCCCACACAAAGAAATCTAATGGATTTAGGTCAGGGGATCGTGGAGGCCAGGCGACTGGTCCTCCACGGCCGATCCATCTTTCTGGATAATTTTCGTCCAGCCAGTTTCTAACTATTCTCGAATAATGAGCTGGACAACCATCAAGCTGGAACCAGGCCATTCTTCTTAAATCTAACATAACATCATCCCATATATTTGCATGTTCAGCCTTTAAAAATTCCAAGAAGGTCGCAACATTTAACCTTGCAGGCAAAAGGTAGGGTTCAGATAGTCGATTACGGTAGATACCAATCCACACGTTCACACTAAATTCATGCTGAAAATTTCTTTCCCGAACTGCATGCGGATTTGCATGCGACCAAATATGTTGATTATGAAAATTTGCCACTCCACGTCTAGTGAAGCATGACTCATCGGTCCATAAAACTTTACTTAAAAACTCCCTATTATTATCAGTTCTATCAAGAATCCACTGACAAAATGTGATTCTTCATTCTCCGTCCCCTGGCTGTAGTCCTTGCACAGGTTGCAAATGGTAAGGACGTCTATGGTCATTTCTAAGAACACGGTGAACATGACTTGCTGAAATTCCCAAGGCACCAGAAACTCTCCTAACACTTGTGGTCGGATCTCTATCAAACTCACGCAGCATCATACGGGTAAATCTGCGCTGACGAACATATATGTTTTGATCCCTTTGGAGATTTCCAAAACCA